ATATACATGCACTAAAAAATCACCATAAATCCACACAAAACTTCTCGACAAAAGCACCACCAACATTTTACGTCGGTACAATAAACGTTCAGAAAATCATCAGCAAATAGTGTCACATCGATAGTGCTTTGATCGAAGAGAAAATTGATTTTGTTTTATCACAATCAACAATCATTCAGCTACATTGTCAACCAGCATTCAGCTATGAGGTGTCATAGAGTTGCAGGTCAAGCTTGACGACCACCTCTCCTGACTTGATCTCGTGCAACAGCAGTTTTTTGGTAATTGGTCCTCTCCGCATTCTGCTTTCCTCAAAGATTTCAGACACACAAATTTCTGTTCGTCCCAAAAAATCTACAAAGATAAAAACATTTCAAAATTAAATGTGTAGACACATATTTAACTCCAAAGGGGGACTTTGCTGTGGTGTAATAGTTAGCAAGCTTGTTTCACTAAATCAATTATGACTGAGTAGTGAGTTCAATCATCACTGGGTGCTCCATACTTTCGGCCTTGTGCCACATGGAAGCTATGCTTAGAAAACCATCATATTTAACACCAAGGTTGTCAGAAAGAGAAAAAACCCAAGATGCAAAAACAAAGATGCCATTATCAAACAAGTCTTCTTCTGTTATGTACCATGTCCCTTCAGAATATCGGTAATGATGGCTCTCCACATTTTCCTGTCCTTTGTAAATAAATTAGTAAAATTTGTCTTTTTGCTATATCACCTAATCTCTGTTCTGCAAACCATTTAAACATGTTCGTTAGGTAGGTTATCTGCTGCTTTCCTTTATTCCGCTTGCCTTCAATATGTCCTGTGAGTGTCAAATTTTCCAAGTAACTTTTCCTCATTATATTACTTAGAAATTTCAACTGTCTCTTTCTGATGTTACATATAGGTGTCCTTTTTGTTTCTGTTTTCTCTAAAGATATGTCATTGCTCAGTTCATGGCATTCTCAACATCCTTCTGTAGAACCATATTTCTGTTGCTTTAAGTCTCTTTTGTTGAAGTTTAAATATCTGGGAACTGTTTGAATAGAGGATGGGAAATGTGACACTGTAATCTGAAGGCACATTAGAATAGCAAAAGAGGCCTTCCAAAAGCTAAGCAAAGTATTAAGAAACAGTAAAATTTCATTAGAAACAAAAAAAGAGTGTTGAACAGTTATGTAAGATATATATCCTTTACTGCTGTGAATGCTGGACAAACTGTTCACAGATTAAGGGAAAACTGGAGGCAACAGAAATTTAGGGCTACAGAAGGATGCTGAGGATACCATGGATAGAGCGTGAAGTTTTAATGAAAACTGAAACAAAAAGGACACTTAGAATTCTGAGAGCACTGAAATTTCTGGGATTGATAGAAAAAGCATAAGGAAGCTATGTGATGGTAATGGGAAAAGGACTGAAACTGAGATGTCAGGTTAAGACTGATAAATTTAAAGATTCTTCTTTGTATTTTATCAAGAATCTATAATACAAAAGCATCAGACAAGGCATCAAAAATTAATATGGCTGACAATGATTCATGTAATAAAAATGAAGATGAAAGTAAATACTAGTCAAAAATTAATAATAATGGCTGACGTTGCTTCATCTAATAAAAAATGAAGATGAAAATAAATACTAGTCAAAAATGAATAATAATGGCTGACAATGCTTCATGTAATAAAAATGGAAGGAAATACTAGTAAAAAAATGATGGTTGACAAATTAAGTGTTTAAATAAAAATAAGTTTATTTAATATGATTAAGTTAATAATATAAATTAAAAACACTTATTTAAATAAAGTGTGTTTCTTTTAGGTTGCAATATTTGTCTTTGTGTGACAATGGGTACACAGCTATGATACAAATTTCCACATAGTAAAGTGTACTGTGAATGATTTTATATGAGACTGAAGTTTTTATGACTACATGGGCAGTAAAACTGAGAAGTGTGATCTAAGTAAACATCTGTTGTGCACAAGGAAAGGAAATAGAGTAAATAAATGAAAAATTGTGGGATCAAGTACCATTTGGCTGGAAGGTATAGAATTCCAGGCTTGAACCTATATATCGTATATACTCATGGATAGGTCACCCCACCGGATAGATTGCACTCCTACTTTATGGCTTAATAATTGATGATTTACTGTTGACTCGCAGATAGGTCACACTATAATCTGGGGAGTTACACAGCCCTTTTTAAACGTAAGAATTATCAGATATCTACTATAACAACAATTAAAATTATAAACTATAAATTTGGTTATCAACTATATCGCTTCACAATGCAAATGTTTTGGGTACTAGATTCATGCACTTTGTTATTTGTAAATAACACTTAAGAACACCTTATATGAAACAACTATTAAAGAAAATTATCTCATAAAGAATATATTTCATTTCTTTAAGTCATATTTTCAAATGTATTTTTGACAAAATATATATATTTTGCAGAATGAATCCTGGGACTATTTTTTCTTAGCCAATAAACATCTACACGTGGTTCCTTAACATATGTATGCATGTTCAGCGTTTCTATATCAGTCTAGTGTGAGGGCCCCAACCGAACAGTGACTTATGGATAAATGAATATTTTATAATTTTATTTATTTATGATGGATATATGAATTTAGCAGCATGAGGTAAGTTTAAAGCAGTGAGTCAGTATATATGATAGATAAATTGTTTCTATATGGAGAAAACCCACAGCTTTAGTGTTTATGGGTATCATTTCCAATTTCTCAGAAATCATGATGACAAGGTAGGATTGTTTTACATTTATGCCGAGCAAATAGGTCACACTTAATATTTTGTGAAATTTTTGGTAAAAAAAGTGTGACCTATCCGTGAGTATATATTGTTGTCAGGGGGCATTTAAAAATAAGCAGTCAAGAAGCAAGAAATGTTGTGTTACTTTTTTTTTTTTTTAAGCGTTTCATCCCAAGCAAGGTGAGAAGTCACTAGGACGCAAGGGGTTACAGAAAATTTGGAGCAAGATCAGATAGGAGTGATAGAGGAAAGGACGAGGAGAAGGATAGTGGATAGATCAAGGCAACTGGAGATGTTGATTGACATTACATTTGAATAGTTGGAGATTATAGCTCTCAGGGAAACTGGAATAGGGAATGGAGTTCCACAGGCGAGAGGTGTGAGACATGAAGCTATTGGAGTAGAAGAGACGGCTACATTTAGGAGTTTCAACAGTGAAAGGGTGAGAGTGGGATGCCAGCCTTGTAGGGCGCTTGAACTCATGAAGTCTGGGAACCAGCGAATGCAGCTCCTTGGAGCAATTGCCATGAAAGTATTTGTAGAACAGACAGAGAGGTGATGCGACAAAAGCGCGTCTGTGAGAAAAGTGACTGTAGATGAGATGCCAGAACAGGGTCAATTATATTGCATATCCGCCTCTGGATCTTATCAAGAACCCCGAGGCAAACAGAAGGGGCTCCAGACCATATATGGCAGCAATACTCCATGCAAGGGCGAATTGTTGATTTGTAGATCTGTAGGATCGATTCCAGAGAGAAAAATTCCAGGGAGCCAACTTTATAGTGGACAAAGAAATTATTCTGTTAATGGGCAAAGAAGCTGTCATTTGGGGGATATAGAATCATGGACAGTCAGAGTGAGGAGTGAGAAAGATGGTTAGAATAAGAGTCAAGGATTTCTTTTGTGTTGAAGGGAAGATTTGGTCCATTAGTCTGTCATGGGAGGAGACAGAAGTATAAGCAAAGATATCCTAAGTGTCACCTACCTACCCACCAGATGGTGTATAAATGACTTGAGATATAACAAACAGGATTTGTGCTTTCTTTTCTGGAGGTTAGGACAAAATGTTAACTGTTTGGTATTTATGAACTTAGAATTGATTGGTTGATTTATTTTTTTTTTACATCTTATCAACCCTTTCTAGGTTATTTAAAGCCAAAACATATTTTGGATTGTAGGAATATGTTTTTTTTTGCAATATTACATTAACAATTTTTTGAAAATAACAATTTTTTTCCTGATACACGTCCTACTATTTAACCCATAGCTAGGAGGAGGAAATGGATTTATACCTTTCCCAAGGGTATCTTCACATAAGTAAATATAACTAACTCAACAGGGATTTGAACTTGGCTCTCCAATTTCTCATTTGAAGCTGATATCAATTACACCACCTGCACACCATACAATTAAGAGAGAAGAGATCTTGATCATAGACCGTAAATCGTAAGAAATCTTGTAGAGCATCATTGAGAATGAATTGCATTACACTTATTACTTTTGTTCCTGTGGCCATCATATTGATTTCATGAAAGAGGAACTATACAGAGCAGGCAGTATCCTCGGACCTCCCTACCTATATGTTATACCATAATACCTATTCTATTGTAATAGACTCTCCCACACAAGTTGTAGTAGTAGTAGCGGTCGCCAGTTGAGCTCAGTGGTATGGAGCGAGTCAGTCAATGTCGGACATTGAAATATAAACCATCACAACTAGATTGCTGCATCATTAACTCTTATTTCAAGTTCCTAACGTTTTGTACGTCGAACCTAATTTAGGACGACTTATTGAAATACAAGCCTCCACTGTGAAAACTACTCTACAGCACTATATAGGGTGGGGCCAAAACTTTGTGGCGGGCCTTGAAATGGTTATGTGTAGACTTACCATTAGGAGAGAAGAAATCTCGATCATAGACTGTAATACATAAGACATCTTGCTGAACATCTCTGATAATGAATTGCATTGAATCGTTCCACTTGGGATTCAACGTTCCACTTATCACTTTTGTCTTATGCTCCTGAGTTCCCATATTGACTTCACAGTAGGGATCACTCTTTCCTGTTTACAGAAATAAGAAAGAGAGATCAACATTAAAGAAAGGAAATCATATTTAAACCATTTGATTCAACTTTTGCACAAAAACCTTTTCAGTAATTTCTTTTATATTAAGGAGTTCAGAAGACCTTCAATAAGTACAACACTTTAATCTAATGAACTTTTAAACACAAAATAATGATTTTTCTTTGCAAGGTGGTACGAACAAAATGTTTGAAAATATTATTATGTCACCAACAATTGTGTTTCTTTACAGAAAGATATTTTCTTGGATTATATATATCGGGGTAGAATAGAAAATGTAATGAGATAATCCACGTGCATCAGATACAATATCTATCTATCTATCTAATTCTGTTCAATATCTATCTATCTATCTATCTGCGTCTGTTCATTATCTATCTATCTATCTATCTATCAATTTGTACCTATCTATGTTAGTCTGTTCTTGTTTATCTATCTATCAATCACAGTTTGCATCTTAGTCTGTTCCTATCTATCTATCTCAATATGTTCATATCTATCTATCTATCTATCTATCTATCTATCTCAGTCTTTCCATATCTATCTATATCGGTCTGCCCATATCTATCTATCCCAGTCTGTCCATATCTATCTATCTATCTATCTCAGTCTGTTCAGTATCTATCTATCTCATTCTTTTCAGAATCTATCTACCTATCTCATTCTTTGCAGTATCTATCTATCTATCTCATTCTTTTCAGAATCTATCTACCTATCTCATTCTTTTCGGTATCTACCTACCTATCTATCTCAGTCTGTTCATATATATCTGCAGGTGTTCATTTATCTATTTCAGTCTATTCATATCTATCTATCTGAAGATATCTACCTTAGTCTTGTCATATATATCTTAAGGTGTTCATCTATCTGTTCATCTAGTCTGTTTATAAAACCTTCAGATGAAGGTTTTTATCTATCTGAAGGGGATCATCTACCTATATCAATCTGTTAATTATCTATCTAAAGATATTTATTTATCTCAGTCTGTATCTATCAGTCTGTTTATATCTATTTATCTATCTGAAAGTGTTTATCTATCTCAGTTTATTCCTATATATCTGAAGGTATTCATCTATCTCTGTTCATTATCTATCTAGTTATATCTAGTCTGTTTATATCTGAAGGTGTTCATCAATATTATATCATTCTGTTAATTATCTATCTGAAGATATTTATCTATCTTTCAATCTCAGTCTGCTTCTATCTGTCTATCTATCTGAGTTTGTTCATATCTATTTATTTATCTATCTGAAGATGTTTATCTTTCTCAGTCTGTTTATATCTATCTCAGTTTATATCTATCTATGTTCATTATCTATCTATCTATCTATCTATCTATCTATCTATCTATCTATCTATCTATCTATCTATCTCAGTCTATTTATCTATCTGAAGATGATTATCCATCCATCTCAGTTTATATCTATCTATGTCTGCTCATTATCTATCTATCTATCTATCTATCTATCTATCTATCTGAGTCTGTTCACTATCTCTCTATCTGAGTCTGCTCATCTATCTATCTGAAGATGTTTATCTATCTATCTCAGTACGTTTATATCTATCTATCTGGATGTCTCCAAATAAATGGATTTATAATCTGACATATTACTCTAAACATTAGTGGATACACATATTTGAGAAGATAACTTTTTTTTTTAAACACTGCAATTTATGTCTATCAGCCGGAAGTTGTCAATCAGTCAATCACATTCTAGGGAATTTTTAATCTTACTCAATGTGACATTTATAGTAATACATGTATGAATAAAGACAATGTCTTCTGATGGATTTTATCAGGGTAAATGTAAGGATTTTTATTTTTTTAATTACATTAAATTATATCACTTAGCATCCTCCATAGTTTACCTTAACTTTCACATTTAGCCTGAAGAATATCAATGAGTGTTTGTTAAATTTTAAAATTTTTAAAAAAATTAACGATATTTTTTACTTCTGGTTATAAATATTTGTTGCAATTTTCTACATATAACTACCCTTGTGAGCCACCAATCAAGGAAGGTAACACTGTTTCAGTGGCTAAGGCAGTATAAGGCAAAATAAAACCTTTACATTTGCCTTGATAAAGTCCATCAGAGGATGAAATGCATCAGTAATATATGTATATACAAATAAATATAGACATGCACACATACATACATACATATATACATTTGCATGTATGTAACATTTTCCTTTATCATCAGAAGAGTCCACTACATAGAGATGGATGAATTGCCCATATCTGTATGGTAGACTATATAGGATATATATTTAATACAAAATGAAACTTGATATATAAATCTCCAAAATTGTACAATGGTGAATATATTAATATTTATTTTTTGTTACTATTCAGAGACATAAACAATAAAAGCTAAGACATGTTTTTTATATTTTACAAGTACAATGCAGTTGTAAAATTACTTAAATAATACTGTCATCTTTTTCACAACAATATTTACATTTTGGAGGAAAATTAATATATCAGATCTTTGCAAAACGTTTTTGCCTGATTAGAAAATCAAAAACAAAAGGTCACATATCTGTCTATATTTCTGAGATGAGGTATTGTAAATATTTCACAAGGACACATGGTCCAGTGTTGGTTGAGTAATCCAAAAAGTCACTTGAACTGAAGAGTTGTGAGTTCAATACCTGGCCACAGCAGAAGGAACAAAAACTGAGAGAGTTGAGTTACTAGAGGGATTAACTGATGCTAAAATATCCAAAAAAAAGGCATGGCATGTGGAATTAGAACAATCTACCCCATGGACTAAATAAAGGATTCAGTTTGAAAATCCAACGTATTTCACCTGAAGAAGGGTGGAGCGTGCAACAACCGAAATGTTGTGAATATGGCAATAAAGATGAAGACTACAGTCAAAATTTTACATGCTCACAAAGAAGCTTTTGTCAAGAACATAGTCTCCATTTGTTTTTAACAAGTCTCATAGTTCTACAAACTTGTTGATTCTATTTTTATAGAAACTTTGTGATTTTTGTTGGAAGAAAGTTGTGAGGTACTTTTCGACTAACTGCACAGAGTCAAATTTTTTGTCATTTAAATTTTCCTATAGAGACCAGAACAAACGGAAATCCAAAGGGGCTGAGTCAGGAGAATAGAGTGAGTGCTGAAGAGTTTCCCATTTCAAATCTTTCAACATCTGCAAGGTGCGTTTTGCAACATGTGGCCTTATGTTGTTGCAGTGGAAAATGACACATTTTTGATTTGTCAAATTTGAGCATTTTTCTTGAACCAAAGACTTTTTATAATGGTGAAAGGCAGTTGGGGTACTGATTTTCAAACATGTAGCAATCTCATCAATTGAAATCTTTGGTTTATTCTTCATGATAGCAAGCAAAGTGTCTTCATCGATGTCAGAAGCTCACTTGGAATGTGGTTAATCATTTGCATTAAAATCACCCTGACGAAATCTACCAAACAACTTTTTGACCATCCAAAGAGCTGGAGCACGATCCAAATAAACCTTCTGAATGTTTTTTGTTGCAGTTCTGATTCTTAATTCTTTCCGAAATTCATAGAAGCATAATATGGTTAAAGTGCAACTTTTCATTCTCCATTTTTAAGGCATTCATTTATGGACAAAACGTCAACATTCAGTAAAGTCTGACTCGCAACTGAATGATGTAAGGTTTTCAAACTAGAATCCACCAGAAATCGTCACCAGAACAAACACCAGCTTCAAGTTGCGGTCATTTTATATTAACAATGGAAATTGGTCACAAAATCTTGCAATGATCAGATAATATCAATCCTCCAATATGCCAGTGAATACTGGACAATTTTCTCAGAGCTGAAGAGGCGGCTTGACACAATGGAGATGTGCTTATCCAGAAGGATGTTATAGACAAAACAGTAATGAGAAAGTTTTAAGGAAAATGTGAATGAAAAAAAATTATATTTAGAAACAGGAAAATTTTGTTAGAAACAAAGAAAAGGGTTTTTAACTGCAGAGCGTCTTCATCAATGTCGGGAGGTTGCATGGGGCGTGGTTGCTTGTTTAAGTTAAAATCTCTCTGACAAAATCTAACAAACCCCTTTTAAATATTCTGAATTTTTTTTGTTGTTGTTGCACTTCCAATGCTTATTCCTTTCCAAAATTCATAGAGCATAGTAAGACAAAAGTGTCACTTTTTATCCCCCATCTTTAAGGCATTTGTTTGTGGACAAAATGTCAACCTTCAACAAAGTCTGACATGCAATTAAACAAGGAAAAGGAAAGGTTTCAATCTAGAATACCCCCCAGAAATCAGAACCAAAACAAATGCCAGTGTAAAGTTGAATCTATTTTATATTAACAAGGAAAATCAGACCCAAATTTCTGCAATTGAACTTCCAGGTGATGGAAAAATTTAGAAATGCTCAGCAACAGTGTATGTTGAACAGAAGCCACCATTTGGAGTATGTCATTTTTAAAACCAAATGAATGAAACCTGTGTCCCTTTGTTGAAACAACAGTGACATAATTTTTTTAATAAAAGTTACCTTGGTCTTTTTTTCAACCTTTAAAATGTAGGAAGTATTTTGATATTACATTTTATTTGAGGAATACAGTATCTATCTATATTTCTGAGATGAGGTATTATGTACGCTATTTACATTATTCGAACTATTGTCCTCATCTTTGTTGCCATATTTATCACAACCATTTCAGCCATTGTACACTTCTTCAGGTGGTTGGAATGTCCAACTGAACCCTTTATTTCACTCGCTGGGGTAGACTGTTTTAGTTCCACGTGCCATGTCTAATGGATGTCAGTTATCAGTTATCTCCTGTTAATTCCCCTCTCCAAATTTTTCACTGCCTTAACCTAACTAATGCCTTTATCCACTGTGCAAAAAAAAAAAGCAATGATAACAGCAAAAATTGCAATATGAGCACTGGTAAAAATTGAGTTGAAGACGTGTATGGATTTCTGGGTTAATACCCAGAAATCCATACACAGATGTCCTCAAAGACACATGACACATCTAATGTTTCTGAAATGAGTCATTATCGTTATTCTCAGAGGTCTTTGAATTAATATTCTCATTCTTTTTGGTTTTATAACTGCAATTTCTTCAATGCAGGAAAGCCAAAGAATAAATCTGCCAAAAGGATGAGACTAGTAGACTGAACATCTCATGGAATAATGACAAATCCTTATCTTGGAATTTCAGAGAATGAAGAAGGCTGAAGACTGCATCAGCCCAGATCTGGTTATAAAACTTACAAAGATGAGTATAATGTTGGAACAAGTTTAAAGCACTTATTTTTGATAAAATTTTATATTTTTGTATCTGTTTTTTACTTTCTATAATCCAAAATAGTTTATTTAATATTTTTCAATAAACAATTTTCAAAGATTTAAAGTTAGCAGGCAGTTAACCAATCATCAAACATAAGTTCATTCTAAAACACACAGGTATGTTGCAATGTTTCAACCAATGTATTGCAAGGATTTCCACAGGTATGTTACATTCAATAAACTTTAGAAAGTTTTAAACAGGGTCCTAGTTTTTAAAAACAAATTAATAATAATAATAATAATAATAATATCATCATCTTGTTTCTAAAAGTCAGGTAGGAATGATGACAAATAACATCTCACAAATTTGGGGGTAAACAAAATTCTTTTAAGCAAATATTAAATTCAATTTATCTTGCAAAGTTAGAATATTTTTGTAAGGCTTTTAGCTCTTTCATATTTGTCAGTAATGTATATGAGGTCTGTCCAGAAAGTATCCAGCAATTTTGAATATTTCAAGAAGCAATTGTACAGCCTTGATGCAGCTTGGCAACCAATCAGAGGTGACCTTACTACGCATGTGTGAACAATCCATGTCACTTGGAGTGACTAAATCAGCACTGAGATGCAATTGAGTGAGCATGTGTACTGTGTGACCATCAAATTCATAATGAATATATCTTGTTTTAGAAAGTCACAACCCAGTCTGCTCTGATATTTAACCTATAGCTGGAGGAAGAAGAGATGGATTTATACCTTTCTCAAAGTATTGGCTGAAACCTGAAGAAGGCCAGAGAGTACATCAGCTGAAACAATGCGACAATAACAACAAAGATCAGGTCATTAGTCTGAATTTAAATAACGTGAATAACAATAACTTCTCATTGCAGAAATTTAGACAGAAATTTCCCATGGGTATTTGCATGAAAGTGAGTGTAGCTGGAACTTGAATTTAGCACTCTGGTTCCACTGTCAATGTTGATATCCACTACACTATGTAGACATTTTTTTTTCCTTCACTAAAATGTAAATTTGCCTTCATTAAAACCTGTTTTGAACAAAATATTATGAATAATAAATATGAAATTGAAGAAACAACAAGAAGAAAATAACAAATTATTCAAAATCAGTCATGTGATTTGTATTTTTATGCTTGTCCAATCAGAATGCAAAGCAGAAAACGTGCTGTTATTTGAAGGATGCAACAGTTAGACAAACTTGTTAGCAAAAAATTCATAAACGATTGTTATGTAGACATGCACAAATCAGGATGA